CAATTCTCCCGCCTCAGTCTCTTGGGTAGCTGGGATTACAGGCACGCGCCACCATGCCCAGCCAATTCTTTGTATTTGTAGTAGAGATGGGATTTCTCCATGTTGGTCAGGCTGGTTTTGAACTCCCAACCTCGTGATCCACCTGCCTCGGCCTCCCAAAGTGCTCGGATTACATGCGTGAGCCACTGCGCCCAGCCACGTTACTTTTTGTTTTACGTATATGCTAGTCTAACACAAAGTAAAACTGCTGTAATCTAACCTTAGAAGTAAATAGCCTTACATTGTTAAATACAGAAAATATACGTAAATATTCTGCAGAATAGTTACACAGTTTTGTAAAAAAAAAAGTATTAGAAAGTAAACTGTTATTATTTAGATATATGCTGAAGAAAGTAGATGAAAACCCGATATTCTATTTGCCTGCAGCACACTTAAAAATATAAGTAACTATTTTAGTAAATATGGAGTGCCTACTAATTATCGCATTTACTTCAGGCATACCATACAAATTCTAGCACACTGTCCTAAAAATCTGAATCTAAAATTGCAGACAAATATGAAATAGACGGCTGGGTGCAGTGGCTCACGCTTGTAATCCCAGCACTTTGGGAGACCAAGTTGGGCAGATCATGAGGTCAGGAGTTCAAGACCAGCCTGGCCAATATAGTGAAACTGTGTCTCTACTAAAAATACAAAAATTAGCCACATGTGGTGGCATGTGCCTGTATTTTTAGCTATTCAGGAGGCTGAGGCAGGAGAATTGCTTCAAACCAGAGGCGGAGGTTGCAGTGAGCAGAGATAGTGCCATTGCACTCCAGCCTGGCAAACAAGAGTGAAATTCCATCAGAAAAAAAAAATTGAAATGGAAAATACAAAGTAAAAATGTATGAGGAGAGTGACTTCAGTAAGACAAAAACATTCAAAGTGCCTTATTTTCATATCCCATTATAGCAAAAACAAAATGTCACCTATCCCTGAAAAAAAAAAAGGCTTTTTGACAAAAGTAGGCATTATGGCTCAAACCTGTAACAACAGCTACTTGGTACATTAAGGTTGGAGAACTGCTTCATTCCTGGATTTCAGACCAGGCTGCTTTATGTGGCATGGCAAGATGCCATCTTCAAAGTAAGTACATCTAAGAGAGATTTGAGATTTAGGGAGAAAGCTTTGAAATGCTGTTAAAGCTTATAATTGAAAAGTATTCTATTCAGAAGGCAGGCCCTCATTTGGGTGGGAAACTACAGGACCCCTGTTCTTGGTTACAGACCAGGATAGGGTTCACCCAACTTAGTCCCACTGAGAATTCTGAACTTACTCTGTAACCACTCCAACCTTGTCCAGCCACAGTCTGGGAGAGGTTCTGCCATTCCAGAGACCTAAAGTAAGACACCCATTTACAGCCATGTAGGCTGGCCTGCAGACCTTGGCCTTTACTGTAATGGGTGAAGAGGTTTAATGACTCAGTTTCGGTACCCGAGCCACAGTTTATGGTCAGTGCTGCCTATATAAAAACCCACAGTTAACCTGTGAAAATGCTTTCTGGTACTCAGTGAAAACAATACTTATCCACATCCTGATATAAGGCCCACTGTATGCTGACCCTACTGCCAAAACATGCCCAAGTGTCTGTCCAATGGGAGCAAAGTCCTGAAGAATATATTGTGTCTTCAAAAATAAAATGGAAATTATAACTACCCATGCCCCTGTAACAAGCCAACTAAAGGTGGACCCTAGTGCAGACCCAGCAGCCTTGTGACCAAGCTACCGCCCCTCCCACTACAAAGTCAGTGGGCATCTCAGCACCCTAAGGGCCCAACCAAAGATCTTTTTACCTTCTAAAATCAGTTTATGAAAACTTGAAGAGGTGCTTGCTCCATCAAATTCAGACACCAATACAAACTATATTGTGCCCACGGTCAATGCTTCTATTTTAATGCAGCACTGGAGGTATGTGGCAGAAGAATTCGTCAAAGAACTAAAAAGGTCTATTGAAATTGAAAAAAAGTGCCGGGCGCGGTGGCTCAAGCCTGTAATCCCAGCACTTTGGGAGGCAGAGGCGGGTGGATCACGAGGTCAAGAGATCGAGACCATCCTGGTCAACATGGTGAAACCCCATCTCTACTAAAAATACAAAAAATTAGCTGGGCATGGTGGCGTGTGCCTGTAATCCCAGCTACTCAGGAGGCTGAGGCAGGAGAATTGCCTGAACCCAGGAGGCGGAGGTTGCGGTGAGCCAAGATCATGCCATTGCACTCCAGCCTGGGTAACAAGAGCGAAACTCCGTCTCAAAAAAAAGAAAAGTAAGTTAAAAGTTGCTGTTTTTAGATCATACAATAAATCTTATTTACTAGAGCAATAAATAATAAATTTCTGAGAACAAAATTAACCAAGGGGGTAAAAAACCTTTACAGTATTAATAATCAATGAAAAAATTAGAGAAGGTCCAAATCAATTTTAAAATAGTTTATGTCTATGGATTGAAAGAATACATGTTATTAAAATGTCATATTATTCAAAGTTATCTATATATTGAATAAACTTCCTATGAAAATTGCAGTTTTTTTTCCACAGAAATGAAAAATGTAATTCTAAAACTTACATGAAACTAAACTTTGAATATCCAAAGCAATCTTGAGGAAAAAAACAAAGCTGAAGGATACCATACTTAAAATTTCAAACTATTTTCAAAGATGATATTGTAATAAAAACAGGATGGACTGTGTAGAACAATGAACAAAAAAATGCTACAGAAACTACTGCTCTCACACATTTCAGACCTAATGCAAAAAAAAAAAAAAAAAGAAAAGAAAAAACTTCAAAAAATAGTTTTAGTTTCTAAAAATTATGTAAATATTTGTGTGTCCCAAAAGAAATGGAAAAGCAGCCAGATTGTACAGTCTCTTATATGTCATAAAGAGGACATTGGCTCTCACTGAGTCTAAATTAGTTCAAGAATTGCAAAAAGCAGTGTGGAGTGCTGGGTACTGTGGCTCAGGCCTGTAATTTCAGCGCTTTTGAAGGCTGAGGCAGGTGGATCCCCTGAGGTTGGGAGCTCGAAACCAGCCTGACCAATATGGAGAAGCAATACCTTGAAGGAAGGAATACCTTGAAGGAAGCTCACCAAAAGAAAAGCTGAATCCTTAGAGAATATAAAAGCTAAGACAGAAAATGTCTCTTTGTCAGAGTAAAATTAAAAACAGCTGTCCAGAACTATTTTCTTTGGCACAGGTTCCCACATCACATTTTAAGGGCTGGATTTCTCTTTGACCTTGGGATCTCTCTTTTTTTTTTCTTTTTTTTGAGACGGAGTTTCGCACTTGTTACCCAGGCTGGAGTGCAATGGTGTCATCTCGGCTCATGCCAACCTCCGCCTCCTGGGTTCAAGCACTTCTCCTGTCTCAGCCTCCCGAGTAGCTGGGACTACAGGCGCGCGGCACCATGCTTGGCTAATTTTTTGTATGTTTAGTAGAGACGGGGTTTCACCATGTTGACCAGGATGGTCTCGATCTCTTGACCTCGTGATCCACTTGCCTCGGCCTCCCAAAGTGCTGGGATTATAGGCGTGAGCCACCGCGCCCCGCCGGGACCTCTTATCTGTATCTTCAGTTGTATTCATTTTCACTGCACCTACCAGGGGATGTGGCAATCATCTCATGACTCTTTACATTCAAAGATTATTTTTCTTGTTCAAGACAGGTGATCAGGTCTGGGTTAGAGACAACAATACCTGTATTAGTTAAAAATAAAAAACATGAGCTGGGCGCGGTGGCTCATGCCTATAATCCTAGCACTTTGGAGGCCAAGACGGACGGATCACCTGAGGCCTGGAGTTGAAGACCAGCCTGACCAACATAGTGAAACCCAGTCTTTAAAAGAAAAAAATAAAATAAAAAACATGAGGCCGGGCGTGGTGGCTCAAGCCTGTAATCCCAGCACTTTGGGAGGCCGAGGCGGGTGGATCACGAGGTCAAGAGATCGAGACCATCCCGGTCAACATGGTGAAACCCTGTCTCTACTAAAAATACAAAAAATTAGCTGGGCATGGTGGCACGTGCCTGTAATCCCAGCTACTCAGGAGGCTGAGGCAGGAGAACTGCCTGAACCCAGGAGGCGGAGGTTGCGGTGAGCCGAGATCGTGCCATTGCATTCCAGCCTGGGTAACAAGAGCGAAACTCTGTCTCAAAAAAAAAAAAAAAAAAGAATTTGGCTCATATTCTCTACTTACAAGCTAGTAAGGTGCTCAGAGAGGATGTAATAAAATATTCTAGTAAATTAATACCAAAATACTAATTAATAACACAAATTTCTAAATATTTAGAAAATACTTTGAACGAATAGTTGGCTTTTTTTTTTTTTCTTTTCAGAGGAAGTTTCGCTCTTGTTGCCCAGGCTGGAATAGGATGGCGCAATCTCAGCTCACCACAAACTCTGTCTCTGGCTTCAGCCAATTCTTCTGCCTCAGCCTCCAGTGTACCTGGTGTTAAAGGCGTGCACCACCATGCCTGGCTAATTCTGTATTTTTGGTAGAGATGAAGATTCACCACGTTGATCAGGATGGTCTCAAACTCCAGATGCCTCAGGTGATCTGCCTGTTTTAGCTTCCAAAAGTGCTAGGATTACAGGCATGAGCCACTGTGCTCAGCCCTGCTTGTAGGTTTTTAAATTTTACTACCTGGTACTACTGAATCAAATATTGGTGGTGGCAATTAGATTTTCAGGTGAGGGCAACAATCTTTTATGCCACTAAATTGCTGGAATTACCACTAATTTAGAGTGAAGGATACAGCTCAACGCAAGAATTTGGAAAGTTTGGATTAAAATGAAATATCTTGAAGAAATTCTTTTCTATGTCAATAAATTCTGAAGATATTCTGGAAAAAGGGCTTCTGAAACTCTTTTATGCACAGAGTAAATTACTAAGAAACATCCTACAAAAAAAATAAATACGTTAATAAAACCTTTAGGGTATATTATGAATTGTGTATTCAAGTTATCCTTACCAAGGAAGACCAGGTTTCTGTAGTTCTCCAACATCACATCCCTATACAGATTCCGCTGTGCAGTGTCCAGGCAATTCCACTCCTCCAGAGAGAATTCTATGGCCACATCCCTAAACTCCAATGGTTCCTGAAAAACACACACACACATATTTTTACCAAGTGGCCATGAGAGGAATTTTTAATTTGACGTAAGGCAATAATATGAATAGATGCTTTTCAAAAGAAGACATACATGTGGCTAACAGCATATGAAAAAAAATGATCATCACTCATCATTAAAGGAATTTAAAAAGAAAAAAACACAATGAGATACCACTTCACCAAGTCAGAACGGCTATTTTTAAAAAGTCAAAAAATGGCCAGGTGTGGTGGCTCATGCCTATAATCCAAGCACTTTGGAGGCCAAGGTAGGCAGACCACCTGAGGTCGGGAGTTCAAGAACAGCCTAGCCAACATGGTGAAATCCCGTCTTTAAAAAAAAAAAAAAAAAGTCAAAAAGTAACAGATGCTGACAGGGTTGTAGAGAAAAAAGAATGCTTATACTCTGTTGCTGGGAATCTAAATTAGTTCAAGAATTGCAAAAAGCAGTGTGGTGTGCTGGGTAATGTGGCTCACGCCTGTAATTTCAGCATTTTGAAGGCTGAGGCAGAGGTTGGGAGCTCGAGACCAGACTGACCAATATGGAGAAACCCCAACTTTATTAAAAATACAAAATTAGCTGGGGGGTGGTAGCATATGCCTGTCTTCCCAGCTAATCTGGAGGCTAAGGCAGGACAATTTCTTGAACCTCTGAGGTGGAGGTTGCGGTGAGCCGATATTGTGCCACTGCACTCCAGCCTGGGCAACAAGAGCAAAATTCAGTCTCAAAACACACACACACACACACACACACACACACACACACACACAACAACAAAAAAAAAAAGCAGTGTAGTGATTGCTGATAAACTAAAAACAGAATTATCATTTGACAGAGAAAGCTCATAATTTTGTACATAACCAAAGAAATACACATTATTTCATTATTATAAAGACACGTCCACATGCATTTCCATTGCAGCACTATTCACAGTAGCAAAGACATGGATAGGCCCTAAATATCTATCAATGGTAGACTGAATGAAGAAAATATGATATGGTCAGATGTGGTGAGTCATGCCTGGAATTGCAGCAGTTTGGGAGGCTGAGGCAGGTGGATTGCCTGAGCTTAGAATTTTGAGACCAGCCTAGGCAACATGACAAAATCCTGTCTCCACAAAAAATACAAAAAACAAAACAAAACAAAAAACTGGCCAGGCATACTAACGCACACACGTGGACCCAGTTACCTGAGATAATGAAGTAGGAGAGAATTGCTTGAGCTTGGGAGGCTGAGTGTAAAGTAACCAATATCATGCCATGGTACCCTAGCCTGGACAGTAAGCCAGACACTGTCTCAAAAACTAAAATGAAAGATTTCGTAAAAGAAAAAATATGGTCCATAAACATCATGGAATACTCTATGGCCGTTAAAAAAATAATGTCTTTGAGGCCGGGCGTGGTGGCTCAAGCCTGTAATCCCAGCACTTTGGGAGGCCGAGGTGGGTGGATCACGAGGTCAAGAGATAGAGACCATCCTGGTCAACATGGTGAAACCCCATCTCCACTAAAAATACAAAAAATTAGCTGGGCATGGTGGCGTGTGCCTGTAATCCCGGCTACTCAGGAGGCTGAGGCAGAAGAATTGCCTGAACCCAGGAGGCGGAGGTTGCGGTGAGCCGAGATCGTGCCATTGCACTCCAGCCTGGGTAACAAGAGCGAAACTCCGTCTTAAAAAAAAAAAAAAAATGTCTTTGCAATAACATCAATGAAGCTGGCGATCATTTTTAGAAAACTAGGCCGGGCGCGGTGGCTCACACCTATAATCCCAGCACTTTGGGAGGCTGAGGCGGGTGGATCACGAGGTCAAGAGATCGAGACCATCCTGGTCAACATGGTGAAACCCTGTCTCTACTAAAATACAAAAATTAGCTGGGCATGGTGGTGCGCGCCTGTAGTCCCAGCTACTTGCGAGGCTGAGGCTGAAGAACTGCTTGAACCCAGGAGGTGGAGATTGTGGTGAGCCGAGATCGCGCCATTGCACTCCAGCCTGGGTAACAAGAGTGAAACTCTGACTCAAAAAAAAAAAAGAAAACTAATGCAGAGCACAGGCACCAGTGTCTCATGCCTGTAATCCCAGGAATCTGGGATGCTGAGGCATGTGAATCACCAGAGGTCGCAAGTTTGAGACCAACCTCACCAACATGGAGAAATCCTATCTCTAGTGAAAATACAAAATTAGGGCCAGGCGCCATGGCTCAAGCCACTAATCCCAGCACTTTGGGAGGCCAAGGCAGGTGGATCACGGGGTCAAGAGATCGAGACCATCCTCATCAACAGGGTGAAACCCCGTCTCTACTAAAAATACAAAACATTAGCTGGGCATGGTGGCACGTGCCTGTAATCCCAGCTACTCAGGAGGCTGAGGCAGGAGAATTGCTTGAACCCAGGAGGCGGAGGTTGCGGTGAGCCAAGATTGCGCCATTGCACTCCAGCCTGGGTAACGAGCGAAGCTCCGTCTCAAAAAAAAAAACAAAAAAACAAAAAAACAAAAAAACAAAATTAGGCTGGGTGCAGTGGCTCACGCCTGTGATTCCACCACTTTCAGACGCTGAGGCGAGCAGGTCACCTGAGGTCTGCAGTTTGAGACCAGCCTGACCAATATGGAGAAACCCCTTCTCTAGTAAAAATACAAAATTAGACCGGGTACAGTGGCTCACACTTGTAATCCCAACATTTTGGGAGGATCCACCGAGCTGGGTGGATCACGGAGGTTAGAAGTTTGATACCAGCCTGACCAACATGGAGTAACCCCATCTCTACTAAAAATAAAACAAATTAGTTGGATGTGGTGGTGCCTGTCTGTAATCCCAGCTACTTGTGATGCTGAGGCAGGAGAATCACTTGAACCTGAAAAACAGAGGTTGCTATGAGCCAAGATCATGCCATTGAACTTCCAGCCTGGGCAACAAGAATGAAACTCCACCTCAAAAAAAAAAAAAAAAAAAAACAAACCCAAATAAACAAATAAATAAATAAAAATCCATAATTAACCAAGCGTGGTAATCCCAGCTATTCAAGATTCTGAGGCAGGACAATTTCTTGAACCCAGAAGGCGGAGGTTGTGGTGAGTTGACATTCCAGGATTGCACTCCAGCCTTGGGCAAAAACAGCACAACTCCATCTCAAAACAAAACAAAGCAAAACTAAGAAAACTAATGGAGAAACAGACAACTAAACAGATGTTAGTATTTATCAGAGCTAAATAATAAAAACATATGAACACGCAAAGAGAACAACGGACACTGAGGCCTAGTTGAGGGTGGAGGGTGTGAGGACTAAGAGGATCAGAAAACCTACCTATTGGGTGCTATGAGTAGTACCTCAGTGACAAGATAATCTGCACACCAAACCCCCATGACACGATTTTAGCTGAATAAAAAACCCACATGAATATCCTGAACCAAAAATAAAACTACAAGAAAAAAATTCCTGGGTATTGAAGAGTGAATGTAGGTGAAAGGACCGACTTTTGCCACAGATAGTGGGCCAGGTGGGGCTGTTCTCTGATTTATTCGTTTGCCTGCAGGCAGATGAGATTATGAACAGGAGGTCCAGAACCTTAGGTTGATGGGGAAAACAGCTTGCTGCTGCAGATTCAGTGTCTGAAGGTGGGGATATGCAGACATGCAGACACTTGTGGGTCCTCAGCAAGAAACACCATGATCAAAAAGGCCACAGTGGGGTGGGCGTGGTGGCTCAAGCCTGTAATCCCAGCGCTTTGGGAGGCCGAGGCGGGTGGATCACGAGGTCAAGAGATCGAGACCATCCTGGTCAACATGGTGAAACCCCGTCTCTACTAAAAGTACAAAAAATTAGCTGGGCATGGTGGCACGTGCCTGTAATCCCAGCTACTCAGGAGGCTGAGGCAGGAGAATTGCCTGAACCCAGGAGGCGGAGGTTGCGGTGAGCCGAGATCGCGCCATTGCACTCCAGCCTGGGTAACGAGAGCGAAACTCCGTCTCGGAAAAAAAAAAAAAAAAAAAATAGAATAAAGGCTCCTTCCATGACTGGGGTGAGCTGGCACAACTGCAGGGGAGGCCTTCCAGAGAAACCTGAGACTTTAATAACCTCCTGCTGGCCAGGTGCGGTGGCTCAAGCCTGTAATCTCAGCACTTTGGGAAGGGGAGGCAGGGGGATCACCAGAGGTTGGGAGTTCGAGACCAGTCTGGCCAACATGGAGAAACCCCGTCTCTAATAAAAGCACAAAATTGGTGGGGCGTGATGGCGCATGCCTGCAATTCTAGCTACTTGCGAGACTGAGGCAGGAGAATCGCTTGCAGCCGGAAGGCAGGGGTTGTATTTTTGTATTTCTAGTAGAGATGGGGTTTCACCATGTTGGCCAGGCTGGTCTAGAACTATTGAACTTGTGAACAGCCTGCCTTAGCCTCCCAAAGTGCTGGAACAGGTGTCAGCCATCCCGCCCAGCCAGCAAGGGGTTTTTAACCCTTTCAAAGTTTTTTGTTGTTGTTGTCCTTCCTCTATTAGCTGGAGTTGGACAGCACTATCTAAACTGATCCTGGTTGGCTTAGACCAAAACTTTTTTCAAATAGGGTAAACGCTCGATTTTGCTAGAAAAAGAGAAAGGGGAAGAAAAAGGGTTAGGGTTGATTTGCAACTTTTACAACTTAAGACCAAGAAGCTGAGTCTTTGAAGAGGAATTTAGTTCACCTCACAACTCCTGACTGTAAGGTCTGACCGAGCCATGAACAGCATGGTAATCTCTGTGACCTGCAGGTACACCCAGATGAGTTCCTGGAAGAAACGATCAACCCCCGCAGAGCGCCCAACTAAACAGACATTCTTCTACTGTTTTTTTTTTTTTTTGTCTTTTTGTTTTTTTCCTTTTTGTAGAGAACGGGGTCTCGCTCTATTGCCCAGGCAGGTCTCGAACTCCTGGGCTCAAGCTATCCTCCTGCCTCTGCCTAAGAGCTGGGATTACAGGCGTGAGCCACAGCGCCCGGCTCTTCTGTTTCTTTTTCCGGCCTCCACTGACAAGGCTATTGGACTTCAGAACCGAACTTGGCCAACCTGGTGACTCCACAACTTACGACCCCCTCCCAGCTTGCAAATCGACACCCCTTTCCACCTTGCAAACAACCGCAAATTGAAACGTCTGTAACTTTCCACTGCCCATCCCAAACCTATAAAACCAACTCCTACCCCACCGCCCTCCCCTGACTCCATTTTCGATCCCAGCCCGCCTGCACCCAGGTGAATACACAGCCTTGTTGCTCACACAAAGCCTGTTTCGGGGTCTGTTCATTCAGCGTCCGCGTTTTAACACAGATCTCAAGTGATTCGCTGGCCCCAGCGTCCCAAAATGCTGGGATTACAGGCGTGAGCCACCATGCCAGGTCTCATAAGTTTTTCATAGGAGAAAAGAGAAACTGTGAATCCCAAAGGCTAAAGCCCTTCCCATTCACGAACCCGCACCTCGAGTCAGAACTCTGCCCTGAGGACCCTGCTGTGGTTCCTGCGCAACGTGGGAGGGACGCCGCGCTGACGGTGACGAGCTGCTTAGAGAGGGCTCCAGGCCAGGGCAGTCACTGTGCAGGAAGGGGCAGGACGCCTGGCGCCTGCCTGTCAGCGCGGCCGCCATCTTACGGCTGAAGGGGACTGAGGCCGAGCCGGCCAAGGAGAAATCCCTCGAAGATTGTGGGGCTGACCGCGGGGAGGCCTCCGTCCCACCACAGCCGCTCCCCACCGGTTCCGACCAGTCCCTCGCCTTTCTCTGGATGTCGGAAAGGCACTCTCACCATTTGTAGGCTTCCAGGGGTTCCCCGCCTCTCAGCTGTGGACCTCCCAATGCCTGAAGGTCACCGGGCCGCAGAGTCTGGGCCTCGAAGAGCAGAGGACGCAGAACAGAGAACACGAGACCTGGAGCTTTCGCGACAGTGAGACAAAGGCCGCGCCAAACCCGGAAGCCGCCCTCTTCGCTCCAGCTACGTTTCTGATTGGACGGTTTCCAACCCAACGTCCCCGAATGGATAATGCTTAAGGCCCCGCCCCCCCAGGCCCTGAGTGACAGAAGATGTGATCACACGCTGGGCAGAGTGAAGAAAGAGTAACAGCCTAAACTGCAGCCTTTTCCCGCAGAGCTTCCTCCCTTAGCTGAGCCAGGCTCGCCCCAGAGTATGAAAAAAATTCAACCTTTTTTTTTTTTTTTTTTGAGGCTGGAGTGCAGTAGCGCAATCTAGGCTAACTGCAATGTCCACCTTTCGGGTTCAAGTAATTCTCCTGCCTCAGCCTCTCCAGTAGCTGGGATTATAGGCATGTACCACCATGGTAGGCAAATTTTGAACTTTTAGTAGAGACCGGGTTTCTCCATATTGGTCAGGCTGGTCTCAAACTTCCGACCTCAGGTGATCCTCCTGCCTTGGCCTCCCAAAGTGCTGTGATTACACACGTGAGCTACCGAGCCCAGCCTATATCTTTTTTTAATTTCTATTTTAATGTATTCAAAAGGTGAACAGAAGGTTCTTTTTTTATATATTAATAATACAGAAAATTTTTGTTCAAGAGAAAATCAACTTTTACTTTGGTAATTGTGTATTATCAATGCTAAAGGTAATTTTAATAAAACTTTATAAATACTACTTGGTATAGTCTCAGAAAAATAAAAATAAAAAGAAAAGGGGTGAGGAAACAAAAAATTTTGTAAAAAAAAAACTTCGTAGCCGGGCGCGGTGGCTCTCACCTGTAATCCAAGCACCTTGGAGGCCAAGGCGGGTGGATCACCTGAGGTTGGGAATTCGAGCCTGACCAACATGGTGAAACCCCATCTTTAAAAAAATAAATTAAGCCGGGCGCGGTGGCTCACGCCTGTAATCCCAGCACTTTGGGAGGCTGAGGCGGGTGGATCACAAGGTCAAAAGATCGAGACCATCCTGGTCAAAATGATGAAACCCTGTCTCTACTAAAAATACAAAACATGGCCGGGTGCGGTGGCTCAAGCCTGTAATCCCAGCAGGGAGGCCGAGGGGGGTGGATCACGAGGTCGAGAGATCGAGACCATCCTGGTCAACATGGTGAAACCCCGTCTCTACTAAAAATACAAAACATTAGCTGGCCATGGTGGCGCGTGCCTGTAATCCGAGCTACTCAGGAGGCTGAGGCAGGAGAATTGCCTGAACCCAGGAGGCGGAGGTTGCCGTGAGCCGAGATCGCGCCATTGCACTCCAGCCTGGGTAACAAGAGCGAAACCCCGTCTCAAAAAAAAAACAAACAAAAAAACTTAGTATATAACTGACATGAGAACTGAAGCTTGAGCCGCATGACTCCAAGCTAAACCTAATATTAAGCCCACAAAAGGAGGTTGTTAAAGACTTAGTTCTTCCCGGGGCACCTCCCTTGCAGATTTCCCAGACTGCTCACCCGGCCATGGAAGAAACCTCTATACTGAGAGAAGCTACAGAGCCCTGGCAAGCTGAGGACCAACAGGCAGATGCAGTTAAGGTTAAGATGAAACAGGACTGAAAGGATATCACTGAAGATAAAGTTGTTCTTGCTTTGAGGCAGTTTCTAGACTTTTAAAAATAAAACAAAGTCATATTTAATAAGTAAAAAATGCCGGGAACTCTTCACCAGCAAGAGGGTTCCAACCTTAATGGGGAGTGTGCAGGAAAAGAAAGAAGACAGAAAGCGGGGTCAGGAGGGATGAAGAGGCAGTGCTCTACATCAATTTTACTTTCCAAGGCTCAGAATATATACATTTTCAGGGTCTGATTGACGTCATGGTAAGGAGAAAAACAAGTAGCTAAATCATCAATTCTATACAATAAATTGACAGCTAAGCAATAAGTAGTTATAGAAGTTAATATCTTTGGTGCTCATAAGCAAGTTTCTGTAGCAAAACACTTTGTTCCTCAGGAATGCATGGCCATCTGGTTTTGCCCATCCGGTTATTTTTAAACTAGATTCTCCTTTTTTTTTTTTGTCCACGACTTCCTTATCTCGACTTCCCTCTGCCTGGAGGCCCTGCTCCTGGGCTCAGCCTCCCATATAGTGAACACCTGCACTGAGGTGCTCACACAGAAGGGCTCCCAACAAAAAAAAAGTTTAAATGATAAAGGAGTATTGGTACAGGAGGAACTACGACTACAAAATCTTTTAAGGATTGCAAAGGATAGGCAGACAAGGACTTTCTTTCACCGGAAGGAGCAAATAAGATTAGAAAGGTGGGAGGAGAAGGGCAAATGGAGGGTTAAAAATCAGATTCTAGATCAGAGAATGTTTTACCCTGAAGTCAGCATGTTCTTAAAAGGGACATAAAATGGGGTCTGTGTTGGCTCAGACTGAGGATAGCTCAAAGTTCAGGGGCTGTGGGAAGAAGATAAGTGAGATTTGATTAACAGGTATTCTGTTTTGACCACTGAAGACAAATACAGCCAATTTTTTTAATGAGAAAAAGAAAAAAAGATTTGCAGAATTCATGTCTGGCTATGTGATAGGTCAGCACACAAAGGATAGAGAATTTTATTAATCACAGCTATTTACCACAATTACCACTTTGGGAGGCTGAGGCAGGGAGATCCCTTGAGGTCAGGAGTTCAACATCAGCCTAGCCAACATGATGAAAGCCTGTGTCTACTAAAAATACAAAAATTAGCTGAGTGTGGTGTTGTGTGGCTGCAATCTCAGCTACCTGGGAGGCTGAAGCAGGAGAATTACTTAAACCCTGCAGGGAGGATGCACTGAGCTGAGATGGCGCCACCGCACTCTAATCTGACACTCTGTCTCAAAAAAAAAAAAAAAAAAGGAAAGTAAAGAAGAAAAAAAAGAAACATAGGTAGGCCATGGAGTTTGTGACTGGCATCTGCAGTAAGGACAATATTGTGGGACTAAGCCCTCAATCAGGGTCTGTGCTGATTCTGGTTGGTGTCAAAATTCAGATGTTAGACAGTGATTTGGTGTTGAAGAATTGCTTGATGTTAACAAACTCTACAGATCTCGTGTCAGAAAAAAATATCATGGGGGCCTGGCCCTGGCCTGGACTAAAACTCTGAGTATGTGGGAAGGAGAGACTCTGCTCTTTTCAAAACTCCTGGCCTATCCACATCCCCAGACACTGAACCTGCAGCAGCAACCTGTTTTCTGCACCAGCTTGGGGTTCTGGGCCACGTGTTCATAATCTCATCTGCCTGTGTGACCCAGAAATAAGTAGCGCAACCAGTCCTTCTGCCTGCACTGCACTCTTCCCCACCCATTGAGAATTTTTCTTTTAACTCTTATTTCAAGGGTACACCATGTGAAGATTTGTTATATAGGTAAAATTGTGTTTTGGAAGTTTGGTATGAATTATTTTGTCACTGAGGTACGAAGCATAACACTAAACAGATTTTTTTTTTTAAATCTTCTGTTTACTCTGTTGATTGTTTCCTTTGCTGTGAAGATGCTCTTTGATTTAGTTAGGTCTCATCTCTCAATTTTTACTTTCGTTACAATTTTCTTTTTTCTTTTTCTTTCTTTTTTTTTTTTTTTTGAGACGGAGTTTCGCTCTTGTTACCCAGGCTGGAGTGCAATGGCGCGATCTCGGCTCACCGCAACCTCTGCCTCCTGGGTTCAGGCAATTCTCCTGCCTCAGCCTCCGGAGTAGCTGGGATTACAGGCACGCGCCACCATGCCCAGCTAATTTTTTGCACCTTTAGTAGAGACGGGGTTTCACCATGTTGACGAGGATGGTCTCGATCTCTTGACCTCGTGATCCACCCGCCTCGGCCTCCCAAAGTGCTGCGATTACAGGCTTGAGCCACCGCGCCCAGCGCTTCTTTTTTCTTTTATCTTTTTTTTTTTTTGAGATGGAGTCTTGCTCTGTCTCCCAGGCTGGAGTGCAGTGGCATAATCTCAGCTTTGCCTCCCGGGGTTCAAGCAAGTAGCTGGGACTACAGGTGCCTGACTACAGGTACGTGTCACCACACTCAGCAATTTTTGTTTTTTGTTTTTAGTGGAGACGGGTTTTCACTATGTTAGCCAGGCTGGTCTTGAACTCCTGACCTCAGATAATGTACCTACCTCAGTCTCCTGTTTTTAATATTTTCATCATAAAATCTTTATCAGTTTCTATGTCTAGAATGGTATTTCCTAGGTTATCTCCTAGGGCTTTTTCTTTTCTTTTTTTGAGGTGGAGTCTTACTTTGTTGCCCAGGCTGGAGTGCAGTGGTGTGATCTTGGCTCACTGCAATCTCCACCTCCCCAGTTCAAGTGATTCTTCTGCCTCAGCCTGCTGAGTAGCTGGGATTACAGGTGTGTGCCACCATGTCTGGCTAATTTTTGTATTTTTAGTAGAGATGGAGTTTCACCATTTTGATTAGGCTGGTCTGAAACTCCTGACCTCGTGATCTGCTCACCTCAGCCTCCCAAAGTGCTGGGATTACAGGCATGAGCCACCGTGCCTGGCTCTTTTCTTTTCTTTTCTTTCTTTTTTTTTTTTTAGACAGAGTTTTGCTCTTGTTACCCAGGCTGGAGTGCAATGGTGCAATCTTGGCTCACCGCAACCTCCACTTCCTGGGTTCAGGAAATTCTCCTGCCTCAGCCTCCCAAGTAGCTGGGATTACAGGCATGCGCCACCATGCTCAGCTAATTTTTGTATTTTTAGTAGAGACGGGGTTTCACCATGTCGACCAGGATGGTCTCGATCTCTTGACCTCGTGATCCACCCGCCTCAGCCTCCCAAAGTGCTGGGATTACAGGCTTGAGCCACCGTGCCCGGCCTTTTTTTCTTATAATTTAAAATTTTACATTTAAGTCTTGAATGCATCTTGAGTTGATTTTTGTATATGGTATAAGGAAGGGGTGGAGTTTCAATCTTCTAGGTAGTGTTTGTTGGTTATTTGAGCACCGTTTATTAAACAGGGAGTTCTTCCCACATTCCTCTTGTCAGCTTTGTGGCAAATCAGATGGTTGTTGGTGTGTGGCATTATTT